CCTGCAGAGATGGACCTGGATGTGATCAGAGACCGTGCTCAATGAACAGTCTCGGTTAGTTTAATTTGTTGTTCTCGTCGGGGTAAACCAGCTCGTATTTTGAATACTCATGAATCGGTTTATCCCCGTTTCGATATATGTAAAACCAATCCCTTGGCGAATGAAAACGTTGCACAAAACCGTAAAATAAACTAACATCTGCAGAATGCTGATATATGGTTGATCGACATGATGTTGATGTCTGGTTGCTATGGCTGCTTCTCAGATGTAGATATGTTTGTAATAGAAAATGTTTAGATATCTATCGAACGTATTGTCATTGGTAACTTGTTCTCTGATGGATCTGTCTCAATATCTCTTGGGTTCCTTCATTCTGCCTATAGTTATTGCATTTTATGATGTGAAAGGAAGAACACTACCTATTACCGAACATAGATTGTAATAGTCCAAGTCCACCGCTAGAAGATATTGTCCTTAGCCCGTTACGTATTGTTGTCAACCTCATGATTTTTAAGACGTTTATTAGGGAGAGGTTTCCACACTCTTATCTTATAAGGAATGTTTCGATCTCCTCTCCCACTGATGTGGGGTGGTCCAATGTCTTTACTGGCACACCGCTTAGTGTTTGTGTTTAATACCATTTGTTATAGCCCAAGTCCATCGTTAATAGGTATTGTCTGCTTTGGCCTTTACATTTCCTTATTGTCTGCTTTGGCCGTTACGTTTCATTCTCCAACTGTGAGATTTCACAATCCACCCTTTTAGGTGTCCAGCATCCTCAACCAATGTGGGATCTCACAATCCACCCCTTTAGGTGTCCAGCGTCCTCAACCAATGTGGGATCTCACAATCCACACCTAAAGAGCCCAGCGTCCTCAACCAATGTGAGATCTCACAATTACCCCCCTTGAAGACCAGAGGATCTCACAATTACCTCCCTTGAAGACCAAAGTCCTCGCTAGCACACCACTCGGTTCTAATATCATTTGTAACAGCTCAAGTCCACCGCTAGCATATATTTTTCGCTTTGGCCCTTTTTATAAGGTATCTACTAAGGAGAGTTTTTCACACCCTTATAAACTTCTAACCAATATGAGATCTCACACAGATAAAGTATGAACAAGGAGATACATTTCTAAAATCGTTCACTATTATACTTCCTCAGATTGAACACAAAAATTTCGATAGTCACTCCACGTCATCGAGCACTTAGAAGAAACAAAACTGACATAGAAATACATCAATCGTCCTGTCAACTTTATTGTAACGAGAATCCCATATATGGAATCTTCAAACACATGACTTTGTCGTACTAGAAGATGTTTGGCCACCCAGTTGTCCAATGGTACCATCATCGATCTCGCCCGACATCTCTTCCAACGATTTCCCCTTAGCTTCCGGCACAAGAAAAGTAAACAAAATCCCCAAGAAGTTAAGTGCACCCAACAACAAAAGCGAGTTCTTAACTCCAATCCCAGGAGGATATCCAGCCTCAGTTTTGTTTTTATCTTGGTTTTGAGCCAAATATAGAAAACCAAACGCACCCACCATAGCTCCAAGCTTCCCTGCAGCTGATGATATACCATGACAAGTTGAACGGAATCGTGCCGGGAAGATCTCAGCTGGGACGACGAACGTGGTAGCATTCGGTCCAAAGTTTGCAAAGAAGAATGTTAATGAGTAGAGGACAACGAAGCCGATCCGATTGTCCTTTAACGTCCAATGATGATATGGAATGGCTAAAGCAAACATGAAGACTGTCATGAAGAAGAATCCCATTAGTTGAATGGCAAATCTTCCAATTCTATCAATGAAAGCCACTGTGAACCAATAGCCAGGGACAGTGCTGCAGAGGGCTATCAATGTTTGAGCTCTTGCTATTCTAAAGACTTCTTCAAGTGCATTCATGGTGGCTGCTGGTGGTATCCATCCAATGGCGCTAAAGATATCCTTTTGAAATAAGTTTTGGCTGTAGAAGGCTATGTCAAGTAGAAACCAAGTGCTTGTAGTTCCAAGTAAATGAGTTCCATGGCGACTAAAGAACTCTTTAGAGAGCAATCCATATGAACTAACACTATCACTTGGCGTCGGTTCAGCAGGCTTTGCTCCTTCGCCCTCGATATCCATTTGCATAACTTTCGACATATCCGATGCAGCTTGAGCGGTATCCTTTGCTACAAGCGCGGTGTAGCGTGCGGTTTCGGGCATTTTCATCCTCGAGTAATAAGTAAGAGCAGCAGGAAGAGCACCAACCATTAGTATAATCCTCCAAACATAATCAGCTTGTGGCACAGTAGAGGCAACTGGATCAACAGCATAAGATGGAGCATCAAACTTCGACTTAAACGCCGACGACACGATAATGGCGAATATCCCGCCACCTAAAATTCCAAATCCCTGCATAGCAAACACAGCAGCAATGAACGCACCACGAGTCTTCTTATTCGAGTATTCCGACATGATCGTTGCTGAAAGAGGGTAATCGCCACCAATGCCGAAACCGAGCCAGAATCGAAAGAAGCATAGAGTAGTCATGACACATTGTGAATTGTGGCCAAAGGAGAGGCCAGAGCCTATGGAGCAAACAACCATCAGCATTAGAGTTAAGCCATAGACTCGTTTTCGTCCCATTTTATCGCCTAACCAGCCGAAGAAGAGTTGCCCGGCAAGCGTTCCGCAGAACGCTACGCCGTTAACGGCAGCTGCAACGTTTGGAGGCAATGATCCAGGTTTTTTTGCACCATCAACATGATAGTAGATTCTTCCAAGTAATTTTGTGACAAGGGATATGCAGAAGAGATCATATGCATCAGTGAAGAATCCCATTCCAGCAATGATGATTGCTGTGAAATGGTACCATTGTGTTTTGGCAACATCTAATGCATTTAGTACTTGTAATTGTTCCTTTTCCATGTCTTGCTTCTATTTCTTATACTTGTTTCTTCTGCAAAAACAAAAAAAATATTGTTTCCATTCAACAAAACAAGAACAAAAGGGCAGGAAGAGAGCTATGCATTGCAACAAAACAGAGATCCAGAAATAACCCATCTATTTGTTAATCACTGATCAGGTATGAGTTTAAGTAAAAAATGGTATCAGAGCCCGACAACGAGCAGTGTGCCAGCAAGGACGTTGGACCCCCAAGGAAAGCTCTATAGAGAGGCATTTGAAAAAACTTAAGGAAGCCCAAAAGGGAAAGCTCAAAGAAGACATTTTCTAGCGGTGGAGTTGGGCTGTTACAAATGATATCAAAGACAGATACTGAGCTGCGTGCCAGTGAGGTCTCTCCCCCAAGGGAATGGATTGTGAAATCCCACATATAAGAGTGTGGAAACCTCTCCTCACCAAGACACTTTTAAAAACCTTGAGGGGAGCCCAACAAGGAAAGTCCAAAGAGTACAGGCTTGGACGATTACAAAGGGTATCGGAGCCCGACAACGAGTAGTATGCCAGTGAGGACGCTGGACCCCCAAGAGAAGTAGATTGTGAGATCTCACATTGATTGGAGAGAAGAACGAAAACATTCCTCAAAAGGGTGTGGAAACCTCTCTTTAACAAGACTTGAAAAGAGAAAGCTCAACGAGACAATATTTACTAACAGTGGGGTTGGGCTGTTACAAATGGTAGCACTGTGCCAGCAAGGACGCTGGCCCTTTAAGGGAATGGATGGTGAGATGGTTGAAAGAATAAGTGCGAAAAGAGAAAGTTCAAAAGGACAATATTTACTAACCGTGGGGTTCCTGCAAATAATCAACCAATCAATCGGGGGATAGCATCAGAAAAGTAGCCAGAAAAACATGAACAGTTTTGTATACACGACAAGAAACGCAGTGCAAAATGAGTAATTTGTGGGGGGATTTCGTGGAGTTTAAGGTAAAAGATAAAGCAAACAAAAAGATAAAGAAATGCAAGGGAATGAGTAATAGTTACCGATCTGAGAAGCCTTTGGAATTTTGAGATGAGAAAGAAGAGGGAGAAGTTGAGGCAATATGTATGCAATGGAGATTGAACCGGATCTCAGTTACTCCTTCGGCTTATTTTCTTCTTTTTCCTGCTTTTTCGAATAACCAAAAATGTAAACACATCTACACCGTCTGATGTAAGATGTACGGTGTACAAATTTTTGTTTTTTGTTTTTTTTTTTTTTATATATATGTATCGTAATTAGTATGTACTTGTTGATTTGGGATTCAAAGTTTTAAGGTAAGAGTTTGTAATTTAATTGAGTAATTATTAACTTAAAAATGTTTATTTAGACTCAAAAATACCTACTCTCCATAACTTTCTCCTTCTTATGCTCCTTCTCCATTTCATCCATACAATTCTTTTGCCCTCCTATTTTATTGTTAACTTGCCAACCCCTAATTCTACGATGGCTTCATGCTGTTACAATCGCACTCTTTTCAAATGCTTGCAACAATTGTGAGTCATTCACTCTCACCACTGACTGAATTAGCCAACTCGAAATCGTGTCGTATACCAAGCCTCTAACCCTGCTGTAAGAAGAGGTTCTAGGCAATGGAGACATAGAGATTTTAAAAAAAGAAGTTGGAAAGCAATATTGTAAAAAATGAAGAGCCTAAGCAAATAAAGCAACCCAATATCTTAGCTAACATATAACTTAAGGTAGAAAGAATTGACGACTACTAGTCGAATCCTCTCATAATACATTATGAGGTATTTCAAGTTTGTTAGGCATAGACATGATTTTGCTGAAATATCACACTTAGAAAATATAATAAAGAAACTATACATCATGAAAGTCATAAAGAAAAGCAATGAAGTGATAAAACACAAGGGGTTTGACATGCAACAGGCATGCAGGCATGACCCAACTCGACTTCACATAGAAATAAATATTAACCTTCTCATTGAAGGAACTTATAGAGATAGATTAAATATTTTCATGGTTCAGCTTGTATATTATACTCACTCACATATATCCACATGAACAATTAGCATCAAATTATTTGTAATTACATAATTGACTACGAGACTCTACCTATTCTCGGACGCGAGCGAACGGGAGGAAGAAATTAAATGCATTTCTATAATAATAATATAAGAAACTAAACACTTCCTAAATTTGTAAAATGAAGTGAAATAATGGTGTAGTAGCCTAATTCTAATGGGAATACCACAGGTTGAATCCTTAAGCCTCTGAAACTGTTCTATGGCTAAATGTCTGCGTCTGCCTCCCAAGTTCTTCAATGGTTCCATCTTCGTTCTCGCCGGACATCTCTTCCAATGATTTTCCCTTGGCTTCAGGCACCAGAAAAGTAAACAACATTCCCAACACGTTAAGTCCACCCAGCAAAAGAAGCGAGTTCTTGACTCCAATGCCTGGAGGATATCCTGCATCGGTTCTGTTCTTGTCCTGGTTTTGAGCCAAATATAGAAAACCAAATGCACCCACCATAGCTCCAAGCTTTCCAGATGCTGCTGATATCCCATGGCAAGTAGAACGGAATCGTGCTGGAAAGATCTCAGCTGGGACGACGAAAGTGGTTGCGTTCGGTCCGAAGTTGGCGAAGAAGAACGTCAGTGAGTAGAGGACTATGAAGCCAATTTGATTGTCCTTCAAAGTCCAGTGATGGTATGGAATGGCTAAAGCAAACATGAAGACTGTCATGAAGAAGAATCCCATGAGTTGAATGGCAAATCTTCCAATTCTGTCAATGAAAGCCACTGTGAACCAGTAGCCAGGCACAGTGCTGCAGAGGGCTATCAATGTTTGAGCTCTTGCTATTCTGAAGACTTCTTCAACTGCATTCATGGTGGCTGCTGGAGGAATCCATCCAATTGCGGTGAAGATATCTTTCTGGAATAAGTTCTGGCTGTAGAATGCAATGTCAAATAAAAACCAAGAAATAGCAGTTCCAAGTAAGTGAGTTCCATGACGACGAAGAAACTCTTTCGAGAACAATCCATACGCATTTCGCAGCTGCTGAGTGTCACGATCACACTTTTGAGCATGACCGTGACACTGAGCAGACTCTAGTTCCCACTTTCGAGCATCACCGTGACACTGAGCAGACTCTGGAGTTTCTGCCTCAATATCCATATGCAAAACTTTTGACATGTCTGATGCAGCTTGGGCTGTATCTTTCGCTACAAGCGCCGTGTAGCGTGCAGTTTCGGGCATTTTCATCCTCCAGAAGTAAGTAAGAGCAGCAGGGAGAGCTCCAACCATTAGTATAATCCTCCAAATATAATCAGCTTGGGGCACAGTGGAGGCAACAGGATCAACTGCATAAGCTGGAGCATCAAACTTAGCCTTAAATGCCATAGAGATGAAAACGGCGAATATCCCTCCACCCAAAATTCCAAACCCCTGCATAGCAAACACAGCAGCAATGAACGCACCACGAGTCTTCTTATTCGAGTATTCCGACATGATCGTTGCCGAAAGAGGGTAATCGCCACCAATACCGAACCCAAGCCAGAATCGAAAGAAGCATAAAGTAGTCATGACAGATTGTGAATTATGGCCAAAGGAGAGGCCAGAGCCTATGGAACAAACAACCATCAGCATTAGAGTAACGCCATAGACTCGTTTTCGCCCCATTTTATCGCCCAACCAGCCGAAGAAGAGTTGCCCTACCAACGTTCCACAGAACGCCACACCATTAACAGCAGCAGCAACGTTTGGAGGCAATGATCCAGGCTTTGGCGCACCATCAACATGATAGTAGATTCTTCCAAGTAATTTCGTGACAAGAGATATACAGAATAGATCATATGCATCAGTGAAGAATCCCATTCCAGCAATAATGATTGCTGTAAAATGGTACCATTGTGTTTTGGCAACATCTAATGCATTTAGTACTTGTAATGACTCCTTTCCCATTATTTACTCTCTGGTAACTTTTATCCTACACTTCAACTGGTACTCCTAGACAAAATTCAAAGCGAATGACAAACAAACGACAGGAGGAACAAACAAAACAGATCCAAGAACAAGAACAACCGATCTATTCGTTAATCATTGATTAAGTAAGACGAAAACCAGAAAAGTAGCCAGAAAACGAAAGAAACAAAAGAAAATGTTTGAATTCAAGGAAGAACATGCAAAAACAAATACGAATCAGAGCAACAGAAATCAGAGCTCGATAGAATCACGAACCTGGATACTGTGAATTGAGTGGGGTTTGAAGATTGGAGCAGAGGGATTTAAATATGGGATCGAGGTTGAAGGAGATATGAAAAATTGGGGAGGAATGAATATCCGTAATCTTCCTGATTTAGCGCGGGAAGCCATATCTCAACAAATACAAATGAAATCAAACAATATATATTTATATATATCAAAATTAATTTATATTTATAGGAAAATCAAAATATAATTATATGTATATATTTATTTTATTTTTATTTAGTTTGAAAACTATTTTTTTATTATTTATTCTCGGACCACAATTTAAAATAATTTTTAACTATTTAAAAGATAATTTTCAAAATTTAAATGGAATGGTAAATCTTAATTAAAAGGTTTGAAAATATAAATAGAATTTTATAGATTTAATTTTTTTATTTTTCTTAAAAATAAAAATTTAAATACATGAGCTAAATAACCTGAACCAACCTAACCCAAAAAAAATTCTAATTGAATGGAGTCGGGTTTATTATTGAATAAATTTACGATTTGAATAGCCGATTGAGTCTAAAAAAATGTCTTAATTTGACCTAACCCAGTATTTAGATCATGGTTTAGAATTTGAATTTGGCACCGGATAACTCATACAGTTATCTCGTATAATATGATCATGTTACCTATTTGTCTTGAATTACTTGCAAGAACAAACACTATACCCCACAAACCAATACGGGTTCTTTTGTTCTCCTTTACTCGAGTATCATAATTTCAATTTAATCATGATATTAAATATGGTCAGCGATAAACTTACATAAAACGAGAATATTCATTATCATGTTCCACTCAATGGAAGAAAATAAATATTTTAATTATTTAAAGATATAAATCCAATCATGGTGTGTGAAATAAAAATAAAATTAAAAATAAAAATCTTATATATGTTTGTAGACGAAACTAAATTTGATTGGATATGGTGTGTTGAGGAATGATTTAATGATATTAAATTTATTAATTATTAAAAATCTCTATAACTAACTTTATCTTTAATATTTGTTATGTTTTTAAATGGACGTACGTTATTTGTCAACTATATAACTTATTTAATTCTTATATTATATTATATAATATATATAATATAGTATAATACCACTTGAAGATTCCCTTAAAACCCTAGCTTTGCTCCCTAACATGTTTGGTTAAGAACATAATCTATGGGCTGAGAGGGGCAGTTTTAGATGTGCAAAAATATTAATTTAATGTCATTATAAATCCTAGGTGTCCGATGAGAAGTTTATTATGGTCTGTAACGCCCATGTCTGAGACAAATTCGGATGGCCTCGACATTCATTCTAACATGTTTTGTCCTCACTCATATGCATGAGGTTACCCAACATAGAATTGTTCAGTAAAGCACGACTAAACCATGAAGTTCTTATGATTGAGTTACTGAAAAGGAATGTTCAGATTGTTGGTATAGATAGTGACTTTCTCGTCTATCCTCATGATCGCTCTTATTCAAATGTGGTCTCAATTTATTCGTGTACCCCTTCTTTACTCAGGAATCACATGGTAAGTGCAGTGAGATTTGTGGAACTAATCATGCCTTACGAGTGAACTAAAAACATAGGATGGCTACTGAGCTACTTTGACTCAACCACTTCATCTGGGTTTCAAGTTACCCGAAAAATAAGCTATTATAGTGAGCGGTTGGAGCTAGGGAACAAAATTATGGATAAGATCGAACAAGGGTCAAATCCATATAATATTAAACTTCACGTCTATTGTAAACTTTCACTTTTATCTCTACTAAATCTGTACCTTTAAAAAAAAATCGACACAAAATTGAAAAGGTCAAAAATTTGTTTAGAGATATATAAGATTGTTTTCAAAGTTCAAAAATTAAATAGACATCCATTTAAAATTTCATAGGTTAAACTTGTAATTTAATATATTTTAATATATATATATATATATATATATGAATTATTTGCAAATTTAATAATATATATATATATATATATATATATGAATTATTTGAAAATTTAATAATATATATATATATGAATAATTTAAATTGGAATTTTATGATGAAATGAGATGTCTTGTAAGAGTGGTTTAATTGATTCTTTAGAGAGAGACAAAATAATGGGACATACAATGAAATGAATACCACATTATTGGAGAAGCTAAATATTTTAAATTTTAATTTTTTTTTTCATTTTATTTCACTTTTTCGTAATCAATAAAAAATTAATTAATTCATTCATTTTTATTATATTAATTATGGATTTCGAAATATTGTCTCTAAATAACTTTACAAAACAAAACAAAGAACATGTATTTTTTTTTTTTTTTGTTGGTTTTTTTTATTATCAACTTTTTGCTACCTAATACTATTTTAAATATTAGTTAGTTAATTTTTATATTCATTAATTAATTTATCATTTTTTTTTTAAAATTGTTTTGTTAAATAAATGATAGTTATTTTTAAAAAAATTAGTTTCTAGACTTTCAAAATTATAATTAAAAAATTATTTTTAATTGTCGTTAAAGAACCAATAATAAAAATATATAATTATTTAATTAAATAAAAATAAAATAAATGTATGATATATAATTATATTTCAAACAAACATGTAATTTTTGAAATAATCTAGTTTCAACTTAATTTAAAGTTGAGTGTAATAGTCTAAATCCACTGCCAGCAAATATTTTGTTTTTTTTTTTTTCGTCTGCTCGGAATAAGTTTTTACATCATTATAAAAAATGTTCTATTCTCCTCTCTTTATAAAAATGCTTTGGGACCCAGCCTTCTCATGGGCAATCGACGTGGGCTCTCACAATCCACCCCCTTTCGGTGTCATCCGAGTGTTCTTGTTGGCACTCGTTTCTCTCTCTAATCAATGTGGGACGTCATACCACAAGTTGTTTTTGAAGACTTCTAGAACTTTGAAAAGTTTTAGTAAACAAAAAAGAAAATTGAAAGTTGGTGAAGCAAATATAAACAAAATTCAAAATTTAAGATTACAGTTCATTTAACGTATAAAATTACATTATTGAGAAGTAAAATTTGAACAACCTCACTTTACTTTCATATACTTAAACATCTCTAAGAAATCTAAACCTTCACAAGAACATCAAAAATGGCTGAAAAAAAAAATTAATGAAAGGGATTTATCGACATGAAAATTTGTTTTGAAGATGAAGAACAGACTCTCAGAAAGGATTGATGCTACAACTCTCATATGAACTTAGCATCAACAGTTCTTCCAAATACTCTGTTCCCAAATCTTCAAAAATCACCATATTCTTCTTCTTCTTCATCTTCTTCTTCTCCACCGCCGCCGCAGCCTCCGCCGCCGATTTCCTTCTCAGAGAGTGTTTTCTCTTCAAAGCCACCACCGGCGAGCATCCTTCTTCCAGTTGATACTTAATATCCTGGAGTGATTCCCTCACCATTTCGACCGGAAAATTCAGAACCGCCAGTGCTCCTCTCATTGAAAATGCCGCTTGATCATACGCTAACGCGGCGGCTTCCGCGCTATCAAATGTTCCAAGCCAAACCCTAACTCCATGCCTCGTTGAATCCCTAATCTCCGCCGCGTATTTTCCCCATGGCCGTCGCCTTACTCCTCTGTAACTCTTCTCCGCCGTCGTTTTCCTCTGTTTCTCCTCCGCGAAATCGATCGAACTCACTTCGATTTCTTCCTTCACCGCAATTTTCGATTCCGATTCCGTTTGATTTCCGAGAAACTCATCCGGCAGTGGGATCGGGAAAAATTCGCTCCATGAGAACGACGATTCGGCCGATCCGAACGAAGATCCCGTCGAGAAATCGGAATCGGAGAACGAAAAATAAGAGGATTCCATTAGAAATTCCACCGGAAATTGAATCTTACCGGTCGTTTTACTTCGGCTCTCTGGAAATTGAATCGGAACTCGTAAGAAACTCTCTCTGCTTAAAACAAATTTGAAAAATTAAGCCCTATATATAGCAACCGAAATAATGAAGAATCCCGATCCACAACATAATTAAACTAAAAAGCTTGGGCGGAATTATAAATAATTTAAAATTGAGGGAATGAAAAATAATTTAACTTTTACAAGATAATTAAATATAATAGTAGCTGGGTCACGTGCTCGAATAACGCCACAGGCCCGGCGGCGCCATGGGTCCCATTTTGATTTTTTTTCATTAAAATAAATAATAATTATCCGAATCAGTAATTAGCAATCTACGTGGCGGAACACGTCATCGGGATATGTAGAGAATTCACCCGTAATTAGGCTATTGCTTACAGGCTGGACATGGCACGAGTGCATTAGTTTAGTAGTTATTAGATCGTAGGAAGATAAATTAATTAATGAGTTTTATTTAATGTCAAGTTGATTTAATGAAGGAATCTAATCACAACCTTATTTTAATTAAATGGTGAGATTATTATAAGTTAATTAGAGAATAAACCTTTTGTTATTGATTATGAAATCATTAATAATTTTTTACGCAATTATATTACTTTACGACTAAAAAAAAAAACGTATTCTTGCAAAGAAGAGCGGGAACGGAAAAAGTCTTCTCTGTCTCCATCTATAACAGCTCAAGCCCACCGCTTTGGCTTCTTACGTACCATCGTCAATGATTGTGAGATCCCACATCGTTTGGAGAAAGAAACGAAACATTTCTTTATAAGGGTGTGGAAATCTCTCCCTAGTAGACGGGTTTTAAAACCGTGAGACTCACGGCGATATGTAACGGACCAAAACAGACAATATCTGCTAGTGGTGGGCTTGGGTTATTACAAATAGTACTAGAGCTAGTCATCGGGCGGCATGTCAGCGACGACGTTGGGCCCTAAAAAGGATAGTTTGTGAGATCACACATTGGTTGGAGAAGGGTATGAAACACATTAGTGGATGCGTTTTAAAATCGTGAGGCTAACAACGATTCTGCTAGCGTAAGGCTAGGGTTGTTACACCATTTCTACCTCTTATTTCAATCATCATCCGTGCGAAATTCTTGTAATCTCTTCTCATTTTCCATTTAAGCGAGATTCTCTGCCTCGTTAGATATGGGTGTCCATGGGACTACAGAGCAGAACGAGGACGAGGAAGCCTTTCCCGTTTCCGTTCTTACCTTC